CCTGAATTGACATGATTAACTCTCAGAACAAATCAAGATGAAGGTGAGGTGAACTTAGGGAGAAATGTTAGTAGAAATGAAGTGCTGAGGAGTCCACCTCCAGGGTGAGGGAACAATGGAGCAGCGGCGCCCTCTGCCGTTCATACGGAGTATACTTAGAAGCATGTGGAAAGCCGCCTCAGCCACAGGGACTGGAGGTGCACTTTGACCCAGTTTCCTCTGTTTCTTGGTCTATACGAGTTGATATGAGCACAATTAAGTGTTCTGGGCTTCTTAGTCTTCTCAAGGTCAGCCGTGATTTGTTATGATACACACAGTCGAATGTTTTTTCATAGTCAATAAGACACAAGTAGACCTTGTTCTGGTATTGTTTGCTTTCAGTCAGGATCTATCTGACATCTGCAATGATATCCTTGGTGCCACAGGATCCTCCAAACCCAGCTTGAGCTGTGCTAATACGAAATCTAAAATTAGATCAAAGCTGTGCGAATTGAGCAAGAGAATACTGCATAGTTTAAAATCAGGAAGGGTGTTGTATAGGTTTCTCCATACCTATTCAGTCTGTATTCTTAACCCATAATTTGCAAAATCAGACTCTATGAAAAATATTGTGGCATTAGGATCAGAGGAAGACTCATTAACAACATGCATTATGCAAATAATAGAACTTTGTTTACTGAAAGTGAAGATGGTATGAAATGCTTGCTACAGAAGATCAAGGACTACAGCCTTTGGTATGGATTATATCTCAACATCAAAAACAAAACATAGAACCAACAGTCAACATTATGAAAGATGGAGAAAGTGCTGAAGCTGTCAATGGTCTCATCTGCCTTACATCAACAATCAACACCCTTAATAGTAGCAGTCAAGAACTCAGGGGACAGACAAATTCCATGGGGCAAGTCTAATGTCACACTCTCCATTTTGGAATTCTCCAAAATTCTGAAGAGCCCTGAAATCAGCTTGAAGAGTAGGTGTACCTGATTCAGGCCATGGTCTTCTCAATTACGTCTACACATTAGAGAGGTGGGTAGTGAGTAAGAATGACAGAAGAAGACTTGATGCCTTAGGGTTGTGCTGCAGAGAAGAGTACTGAATATCCCATGACTACAAAAAAAACAAAAAAAACCCCAACACAGATATGTTATGGAGAAGGTAAAACTAGAGCGCTTCTTGGAGAAAAGGATGGTAAAGCTTCATCTTTCATACTTCAGACACGTGGTCAGGCAAGGTTACTCCTTGGAAAGGGACACTGTGCTTGGAAACGTAGAAGATCAGCGAAGGAAGACTCCCAAAGGGATGGGTTGGCACAGAGATTTCAGCAATGTGCTTGGGTGTATCAGAGATGACAGGATAGCGCTGGGTTCAGGTTGGCTGTTCATAGGGTCACCCTGAGTGGTATTCAAAGTGACAGCTCCTAACAACAACCACCTATGTGTATAAGAAACCTGGGCATTTCTGTCAAGCAAATATTAAGGCCTATCATCTGTGTTAAAGTATCTGAGTGCACAACAGCATCTTCTCCAAGCAAGGACTGCTCAGGATTCATAGGAAATTCTTGAAAACATCAAAACCTTTAAGGGTTAAAGAAATGCAATTTCAAAAGTGGAATTTCAGTTCAAAATTGAGCACTTGGGAGCTATGTGGAGACAGAAGCACCTACACAACGTCATGCGAGGCCTGTGGACAAGCCTGGGCCTGCTGCTGGGCACGCTTCTGTGCAGGTGTAGATTGCCTTGGAAATCAGGACCCAGAGACAGAAGGCCCAGAGCCATCTTATCTCACTTTCCTTTCCCTTTTGTCCTCTTTCTGTCCCTCCACCTTTTTCTTCTTTTCCTCCTTAAATATTGATGGATATTGTTATTGTTTACTGTCCAGTTAGAATTGATGTATAGCTGATCCTCCAGTGACTTTTAAGAGCAGTAAATTGCAGGGGAAGAGATTGCCCATCTTTCTCCCATGGAGCAACTGATGAATTTGAACCACATGCCTTTGGGATTACAGTGTAGTTTCTTACCACTAGACTATCAGAACTCCTTAGGCATTGATGGGCCATCCTCTAAAGTTGTACAGCACATTAAGTTTGAGGGAGATGAGGGGGAGGGACCTGGGATCCTGAGGAAGGTTTTGCAGTATTGTTGACCAGTCACACAGAATCCCTGAAAGACACTAGATGGCTGGTATGTGGTGTTTTAACCCTACCTGCCAGGTACCAATAAGTGGAAAGGAACTGCTCCTAGCTAAAGATCCATGCTGATTTAAAAAGAAAAAGGAGAGGGGAGATTATTTGATTGCTACATTGCATTGTTTTCTCAGCTACATCCCTATCATGAAGAATCAAGCGTGTCCCCTCCAGAAACGGGTTTGTGTTTCCACGAGGTGGGGTATCCTTGCCTCCAGGGCAGATAATTAGGTGACTTGTTTTCTTCTCTTAAAAGAGCAGTTCTAAATCTAACCTGGAATTGTGTTTAGATTTGATGAATTGAATCAAATCACAAAATTATGAACTTTGACAATTAGCATAAAAGTAAGGATTTCTCACCCCCGCCCCCCGCCCCCCATTGTTGGGAAAGTCTGGCAAAGTTGTGCTAATGCTTTCAGGGGAAGCAACTGACTAAAATTCAATTAACTCAAGCTCAACTTTTTTGCAGTGTAGTGGAAACAGACTCATAGTTGACCCTGCATAGAGTGTTCAGAGGCTGTAAATACCACTGGAAGAGCTTTCCCATCTTTCTCTGCTGGTGGATTAGACCCTGCGGTGAGAGCCACCTTCGGTTTAGCAGCACAGTTCCCTATGGGCTACGGCACCAAGGCTTCTGACCAAGTCTATGTGCAGACTCGGGTCAATGCTCTTTGCTCCTCCACTCCCTCCGGATACTGATTCAGAGTGCCATCTCTTACCATCTTCATGACAGCTTCCCACACTTCCAGGTATGCCTCAGAGACATTGTGACCTTGGTCTCAGACCACCACGCTTTTGGTTTCCCAGGTACTGTAAATGCTGTGTTTACATTATGCTGCAATCTATTAAGTGGTGTGCAATAGAATTTTGAAAAAGTTTGAATATTGTGAGAATTACCAACACTGTGAAAATTTATCAACAGTGTGAAATAGAGACCCAGAGTGAATACATATTGTTGGAATATGGTGCCAACAGAAAAGTAAATGGTCAGATTTGCCTGCCACAGTTTTCACAACATAAAACTGTAGTGTTTATGTAGCACAATAAAGAGAAATGCAATTAAGGTGTACATTACTTGTGTCTCTAGTTGAAAAGTAGATGAGTTCTTAAGGCTCCGTTTGTAAGGAAAGTTGGTTTAGCATGAGTTGGGGATTGGCTATCACAGGAGTAGTGTGAGTGCCCTTGCCTGGATCAGGTGGCCAGTCTAACAGTGCTTAATAGCATCGATGTCTCAGGAATCCTGTTGGAAACAGATTCAGAGGCAAAGCAGGCTGAAGGCAGTAGAGTTAACTTCTTAGAATTGAGCACAGACAGCTGGATCATGGGCATATGGAGGGCCATCTCGGTGGACTGAAGGCCAATGATCTTTCCTCAGTGTCTCTTAATTATTAAGGTGTGATTTTTAATTTTGTGGATAATATAGTGGAGTAAGCATCTAGAAGAATAATTTCATGGATAACGTTTGAGTGGTAGGTAGCTTCAAGTGGAGGAAAAATAAAGCTACACATCTTATATCTGAATATTATACCAAATAGTTAGAAGATGAAGTGGTCACAATTTACCCATATAATAGGAATTTGCCTTATAATCTAGCATTGCCCACAAAGGCTCACTTTTTTATTATCTGGTCACAAATTTCACTCATCTGTATATTATCCAGTTGTTTTTGGATACTTCAGTAGAATCTTGCTTGCATGTGAAATTAATGATATTGTTCTATAGTTTCCACACTCTGTTGTGTCACCCTTCTTTGAGATGGGAACATATATAGATCTCTTCCAGTTAGTTGGCCAATTTATCTGACTTTGGAGAACTCACTGCATGCCTAGTGCAGGGTTGTGCCTGCTGAAGAAGATGCAGTCCCAAATTCTAGTACTGTAGTGGATGGGATATTGACTGGCAACAGGAGGTGTGAGGTTTTAATTCCATTTACAATTGCTGGCAAACCAACCACTTAATGTTTCTGGATTTCAGCTTCACCATTTGTAAAATCAGACTAAATGATCTTCAATTTCCTAAAAATGCTTTTTTAAAGAAAATAAATGAACACAATCCTATACAGAAAAGCATAGCTAGCTCCTTTGATAAAATAAGAAGATATTTTATTTGCTTGACTGAACTTATTCACCTTGTTGTTGTTGTGTGCTGTCGAGTTGGAACTGACCCATAGCTGACCTCCTGGTGGGTTTTCAGAGACAGTTAAGTGCATGAGAGGAGATTGCCCATCCTTCTCTCTGGAGCACCTGGTGGATTTGAACTGCATGCTTTCAGGGTTGCAGTGCAGCTTTTTGCCACTAAGTCACAGTTTAAAAAATAAGAAGCGAAATTTTAAAATATACAGTTATAGTCTCAATTGTCAGCAGGGAAGGGGAGGCCAGTGGTTTCCTGTTAATGGTTTCCTGTTAAAGGCAGACAGTCTCCCTGTCTCCCTGTCTAGGAATCGTTATGGAAAACCAAATGCAGTTGAGGGACTTGGGGGGTGGGGTGGGGAAAGAGACTCATAGGAACATTGTGCAGTTGGAGTAATGGGTTTATTATACCTTTACACAATTAAGCATTTGTGGATGTTTTGTTGAAAATAAAGGACAAGGTTACACAACTCATTTCAGTATTAAAACAAGACTGCTGCAATAGCCCAGAGTGAGGTAAGGACTCTAGGAAGGACAGAGAACCCAGGACTGCAACTTTAAGGCTGCACAGTCAGGGGTCTGTACACTGCAAGCAACACAAGACAAGCAAACACCATCAACCAAGCAGTCTCTCACAGGGATAGAGGATGGTTGCTGGGGCTTGGTATCACTGAGCAGAAAGGAAACTAAAATCTCATGAACCCTCCATATCTTTTCTCCATTTCAGGAGCTTCTTTGGAGTAACTCTCTCCTTCTTCGTCAGAGGTCAGAGAATCAGCAAAGCGCTTCAGGAAACCACCATACCTTTTCTGGTAGTCCATCCACCACTCAGGGCGGCCCACCCTTCTCATGAAGCCGCCATAGCGCTTCTGCAGCTCTTTGGCTTTGTCTTCTAGCTGAGTGCTTCTTTTAAGGCCTCTTATAAAGCCTCCGTATCTCTTGCTCACTTCTTCGTCATTAACACTGCTCTCGTGGTGGAGGCCACCCTCTTGACTGTCCCCTGTTCCCAGGAGCTCTCTCAGCAGATCTGAAGAGTTGGCAAGAGTGTCCTCCTCAGCATCCTTCTTCATAAAGCCCCCGTATCTCTTGGCAACGGTGTCCCCTTCATTTGCCTCCTCGTCAGGCTCCATGGCATAAAGCTCGTCCATCTTCTTCATGAAGCCTCCGTACCTTTTCATGAAGCCCCCGTATTTCTTGGCTAGCAAGTGGCTCTCCTGCTTGCCACTGTCTCGCAGCACGCTGGTGCCATCCTGGGAAAGCTCCAGTTTGGAGAGTTGAAGCAGCTCCTTGCAGGCCTCCCAGGTTTTCATAGAAGGCAGTTTCCCTTCACATTCCAGTGTACATGCCTGGGGTAGAGGTGAGGGAGAAACCAAATCAATGATTAAAGGCATTGTCTCTGATTTCAGTGAGTAAATAACGTTTTTTGTGAATTGATTTATGCTCAAATTAATATGGGCCCTCTCCTATAGTAAAGGCATCCACATATTCTTGTCTCACATTCTCATTTTGCAGGCAAAGGAAATAAAAACGGAAAGTGTAGCAAGAAACTATCAAATTAGAAAGCTGTCTCTGGGTTTTAACAGCTCACACGTACTGTGCTATTTCAATATTTTACATCTATTTCCCCCTCCCCCCATCCAATTTTAATCTGAACTTCATGGTCTAACTTTAATGAAACATTTTCCACTGTTTGTATTGCTTTGAGTGGGACCTAGTTAAGATAATTTATTTTATCTTCTTAAGGATAAAATAAATATTATTAATAGCTTATTTTCTTTCTTCTATTATTACTTTACATGGAACAATAGACAATATTCCTACTAATATTTTAAATCTTTAAAGAAAAAAAATGACATAAAAATTACTATGAAAAGGTATTCTAAAAATTCCATTTAAATCCTGTGTGAATTATTGGAACTATGATATATTGATTTTTTTAAAACATAGATGTTTCTGCTTTCCTTTTTGTATGATTACGAGAGACACATATTTTACCATTCAGAACTGTATGTTTACAATGATAAGGAATGAGATAAAATTATATGTAAAAACACTCAAATTATTCCCATTTATTTTCTTAACATTTAGCCACTGTTATGTGAAAATTATATTATTTGATAAAATACTATGCAATTATTGCTTCTTTATTTTATGTTGTTGTTGTTGTTGTGTACCACAGAGTTAGAACTGAGCCATAGCTGAAATTCCAGTGGGTTTTCGGAGGCAGTTAATCAATCACATAGAAGGAGACTTTCCATCTTCTCCCATGGATTAAATGATAATTATCATAAAGATTAGGGTATGTATACTAATGATATTGTTATGATTCTTTTCTATTTAACAGATAAGCTAGATACAATAAAAAATTAGTACAGATCCTGCATGAACATTTACAAAATCTTTATGGTATTTTCATAGCCTTCTGAAGGTATTTGTAAAATCCTACTTGAAAAATCCCTGGTTTGGATGAAAAAAAAATCAAGGACTTTAAAAACATTAGAAAATACATGCGTATACAAATTAATAGGTTATGTACACTTTATTTTAGGAGAGAATATTCTTGCAACAAAACTTTTTAACAAGGTCTTAATGATTGTTTAACCTTTGTATCTAAGAAAATACATAAGTATATTAAAGAAGGAAATGAAATATTTTAAAAAGAATCTTGTATTATTCTTGATAACAGTTTAGGAACCATTAATATGTTTAAGATGTTTAAGTATTATTTCCTTTCTAAAAGAAAAATAAGCACTGAATATTTGATGTACTTTTATAAAAACTCTTTTGAATGGTAGTTATACTGTTTCAAAAAGAGATAGTGATGAATATTCCAAATAACATACTCATATTGAAGAACTGATGTTAATGTAAATGTTTCTATAGATATGAATCCTCTATTACAGTAGTTGTCATGCTACAGTCAAGATCACACCAGATAGTAAATTTCCTTTATTAGACAATAAATTCAATTTGACAAACCTGCTCATCTTTCCACAGTATCAGAAACAAGTGTCTCTTACCACATTAAAAAGTTCAGCAAGTATTTATTATATTGCTTTTACTACATGTTTTTTGGCTAGGTAGCCCTGTCCTGTTTCTCTTATGTCTTCTGTATCCTGGAAAAAAAAAATTCCAGAACTGCTGTAATTTTTGTAATGTAGCCATTAACAAAGCCATTTGCATCAAGGAAAATAACAACTCTAAGTGTAAACTCTAGCACAAAACATATCAATTAGTGTCTTTCAAATGCTTTCCTAAGAGATTGCTATGTTTTTTAACTGATGATTTCATATTAACTTTTCATTTTCTTCCTTCAAGTTGCTATGTTACATGAAGCCATACAGCATCAAGAGAAAAACAATAATAAAAAGCTATCAGAAGAAGCAATAAGAAGAGTATTGAGAAGAGCAGTCAATCTCTTACTCCTGCTAAATAAGGAGATGAGAAATGAGTTTTACTCAAATTTCTATACAATAGGAATACAAGATTAGTAACATCTGAGAAGCTTGGAAAGAGAGCTGATGAAATGAAGGACAAAAATGAACAGGTATTGCTAAATATCAGCCATATTAACCCACTGAATCACATAATTTAAATAAACCTCATACTACTTTGAGATCAAATGGTCCGATTTGAAAATTTCTGCTTTATGTGAATGACAGAATAAGCTTCTCACACAGTTCTGGAAAAGCTCCAAGTAAGTGTGTGTGGCTGAGCTGGGGGATTTGAAGCTCAGAAAGTGGGGTGTTCTGTGTGGTGCATTCTGATTTCTCTCTCGTCTTTATATACTTTTCTTTATCCACAAGATCTGCCTGTAGTCAGTCACTAACTCCAATTTTAAGCAAAGTTTAAAAGCTCTCGTGTATGTGAAAGAGAAAGAAATTGGACAAAGGAATTGTTTGCCATATTTAAGGGACACATGATTATCACAGCTTAAATATAAAGCTCACTAAGATCATGTTAGTAAACTTTTAATTCAATCCAGATAATTAAAATGCAACAAACAATAGATTGGGAAAAGATGTCTAAAACGACTTTGGAATATTTTCTTTAATTTTTTTTCTCCACTTAACACATACACTACACTCAATTCATGCATAAAATTTCATCAAAGTTTCAAGACGAAATATCTTAATGTTTGCAGTAACAAATTTCTCTCCAGTGAGCTTATAAGTCATCACAGGATTTCATCAAATTGTGAAATCCAAGCAAAGGGATAGTTGGAGGGCCAGTTAAAATGAAAATTTCTGTGCTCTCAGTCGCAGCTTCGGATTCAGCTGGAGAACAGGAAAGTTGATTCAAGAACCACAGCACTTAGAAAAGTTCAGTCACTAGCTTTTTGTCCAAAGCCTTTAGGTTGTTGGGCTTTCTTCAGCTAGTCATTACTCCTCTTAAGAATAGAATTAACACTCTCTTATATTGACTGGAGTGGAATTGGAACCGAGCTCCAACTGACCCTTCATTGGATTTCTGAGGCTGTAGATGGCCAGAACGCTGCCCATCTTTCTCCCCGGGACCACTGATGGATTTGAACCATCAGAGAGAGGCATCACCTTTGGCTTAGATGCGCAGTGAGCATCTACCTGAGCTCCTTCTAGGATTAAAGAGCTAAAGAGGGGAGATTCTAAGAAAGGCAACGTAACAAAAATATGGCAGTATTGTTATTGTCAATTTTCTCATCGATGAATTTTGGTGAAGGAAGGATGGGAGTGTGAGAATGGGGCCTTTGGAGGGGCACTATTGGGAGACTGGATGAAAGCGTTTTCAGTGGCATCTATCCAGTGCTCTCCAAGGTGCTGAAGAGAGCACATCCAGGGTGGGGGGCTCTCATTCCTGAGGTTAAAACAAGCCTGGTGGAGGTCCCAAACATCCTCGCCCTGCCCTAGTTAGGTCTCCTGTTTCCGAAGCTGCAAGCTGGTGGTAGTGTTGGAGGACAGCCAAGGAAGCCTGAGGTCACTAAAAGGAACAAGTTTAAACCTCCAAGCAAAACTCACTGTCTGATCTACGTCAACTCCAAAGGGTTTCTGAAGCTGTAAAACTGAACGAGAGGAGATGTGACTGGTGAGTTCCGAGGCTGACCGGTTAGCAGATCAGCACGTAACCAACTTGGCCACTAAGGCTCCTCGGGGAGTAGCATGACCGCGGCTCAGACCGCGTGCGCGCGACTGCCCTGGGAACGGGTGTCCGGACTGGACGCCCCAGCCGCTGGCCGGCGCGCGGACTCACCAGGGGACTGAGGTCGGCCGGGCGCGCCAGGCGGTGGCTGCAGGCTGCGCAGTCCTGGCTGCACTCCGCCCGCGCGGTGTCCAGGAAGCCGGGGCTGATCGCCAGCAGCCAGGTACAGAGTCGGAGGAGCCGCGCCATGAGCTGCGGGAGAGAGGGGCGCGCTGCCGATGGACGTGTCCCCCTGCACAGTGGGGCTCTCGGGGCTGCACGGGGGAACCTCTACCCGCTCCCGCTTGCCCGATCGACGGCGACCCCATACTGTCCCCAGGCTGGAGCTGTTACCTCGCATCCAGGATCCTGGGCCACCCTGCTCTTCCCGGGCGGGGATCTGGAGGCACGCCCGAGACCAAGTTGGCGATCATGCGCCTGGGTTTAGGGATCGGAAGGAAGTCGGGGAACCCCATGCAAAGACATGCAGATAACCCCAAGCAGGGGTGGCGTCCCTGGGCACAGCAGCTCTGGGCAAATTCACTCAAGGTGTTCACTTACGGTGACTCTTCGGACGCCGCGGGCTGGTGGGCGACACCGGGTCCGGGAGGGCTCGGGTGGAGAGGAGCGTACAGTCCGGGCGGGCTCCTGGCCTCCTGTGGCTGCGCGGTGGCTGCTTCAGCCACTTTATAATTAGCCGCAAACCGATGGAGGCGGCGCGCCCCAATCGCCGGCGGGCTGCGGTGACGCAGGTCCTACGCCAGCCTGCTCTGACGCCCCCGCAGAGGGGCCCCGGGGCCGAGCGGTCCCGCTGGAGGGGGGCGGGAGCGGTGGCCAGGGACTCACCCAGGGACAGGGGACAGGGCTCCTGTCGGGTTCCGGAACAGCCAGATTGGGACGGAATCCAGATCTGCGGAGTGTGGTCCCCGAAGGCACCTGGGGTGCACGCCCCGGGGAGGGGACCCCAGGGGCGGTTAGCGGGGCTCTGGGGACCTGCTTAGCTTTCTCGGGTATGCAGAAGCCCGGCAAGCATGGTGGGCCCGCTCTGCCTGTTACTGGTGTAGCCTCCCTGGTCCCGTTAGCACTTCAAGGGTCAAGGCCAACTGTCCTGTCCGTGTCTGGGACCCACGGACAGCCTCCAGCCCTCACTCCACTCCGCCTCCTTGTGCGGCCACCACTAAGTCCGCTCAGAAGGCCCCCAATGCCCCCTCAGAGAAATGAACGCGTGAACATCCCAGGAATTTTGGAATCTCGGGGCGCATTCTCCCAGCCCTCCCTGGTCTAATCTCTGGGCAAGTATGGCTGGCCAGGCTGGTCAAGACAATGTTTTGTAACTGCGTTCTTCAGGGCTGGCCCAGGTGGCGAGGTGGCCAGGTGTCTGATGAGGAGGGGCTGTGGTAGCTGGATGCCCAGGGACTCAGTTCCCAGGTCTCGCCGCTTCCCATGGAGGGGACCAAGAACTGATGGCCTAGGCAAGGACGGTCCTTGGGGGCAGACTCGGCTTCATGGAGGGAGGCTCAGCAATGTTAGGCAAGCTACCTTCTGTAAGGCCTTCGTTTTGCTACTTTAAATAGAGACAAAGGTACTATCAATTCGTAGGATTTTGGTGAGAATAAAATGAAATAGGCGACAGAAGCACGTAGGCTTGTGTCTGTCCCCACAGCTAGCCCTCAAAACTCGTCCATCAGCACCTCATGTCTTTTATCTACTAACCATTTGTTTATGCATCTCCCTCTTCTGATCCTACAGGGGAAAGACAAACAGTCGTTCACAATGGCCCTGTTCACACTGAGAGAGTCACAGGGCTGTAAAGCGCGCAGCCCCACATTTCACCCTGGGGGGGGGGCGTGGGGGGTCACTGGGACAGCCGGCGCAGAGGCGCTCGCCCAGCTGAACGGCCTACTGTGGTCGCTAGAGGGCAGCGCTGTCCCGCTCAGGCTTGGCGCTCAGGTCTCGCATCTGCTGGGTCTCACCTTGCTGGCTCTCAACAGTGGCCCAGACTGGCCAGAGCTGGGTCCTGCACTTGTGCAGCCTGCAGCAGGCCAGAGAAAAGATGCTGAGGAGCAGAGCAGAGGTAGACCACGCACTTGGAAGGACCTACTGCCAACGTCTTTCTGCTTCTTTCGGCTTTTTAAATTTTTAATAATTTCAATGAACATTTACAGCGATTTCGATTCATTCATTGCTGCACTTTTCTCCTCGCCCATCCCACCCCCACCCCCAGTTCGCTCTTCTTGAAAAGCAAAAGAAAAACTCCTTCATTGGTATACAATCCCCCTGTACCCCACGACCCCCACCCCGAGTATACCCCTGCAACCCTCATTCCGAACTCTTATGATAATCATAATGCCCTAAAATGTATCGCTTTAAAACTGTTCTCTCCCTCATCGGCTTCAATGCAGTATTCATAATGTATCCAGTTTTTCCTTCGGCTTTTTAAACGACTGAAAAACAAGATAATAGTGGGAAGTGGAGATTAACTTTATAAAACACAATATATGGAAATGATGGCGTGAAACACAGTATCAGTGAAGGAATGCATGAAATACAACGCATATGACTGAACACGGAAGAAATTTTAAAAATACATACGATGTAAAAAAAAAGGAAAGGGCAATGTATGCAATGAAAGCTCTTAGGTCCTTTAATGTGCTAAATATACCCAAAAACAAACCAAAAAATCCCCCAGACTCTACCTAAGAGTGAGAACTTGCACAGAGAAGAGTCAGCAGTGGGAGCGTACAGCTGCTCCAGAAGGATCACGTGGACTTGCCTTCTCTGAAGGGCCACGGCCCCCATCCGAAAGCCCAAGCGGCAGTTGTACTTTGTATTGCAGGGACATTGTGACTTGGAATGGAATGGAATTTATGACAGTGGCTTTGGTTACTTAAGGGTGCATTTGCTTTTCTTATTGTCTCCCCAAGAAAGGGAAATTCTCTATGGAACCGGCCAGAGGGTCAGCTATGGGTCAGTTCTGACTTGTTGGTTCCCAACAACAACAACATGCTATTCTTACTCTCTCTTCAAAAGAAAGGTTAAGCTCTGTTTGTCTTCTCTTTCTGAAAACCCACCACTGGAAGGTCAGCAATGGGTTGGTTTCCACTCACAGAACATAACAACAGCAACTTGTGTTAAACAGGCTTTCCCTCTGTTTGCTTGGTGCATGAAAGACTAGTAGAACTCTGTGCTAAATTCTAACCTAAAGCTTGTGTGTTTAAGATCCATTCAAGATCTGCCCTACCACATCAGGGCAGGAGGGCACGTGGTGCTTCTTAGGGGTACAGGGTGCTGGTCCACAGAATGCTCTGTAGAATCTTGGAAAAGTAGCAGCTGAAGTCTGGAAGGACTTCAACAAGAATTCATTTCAGCTCTTCATTTCCTGCATGAGCTCAGGACATATGAGTGATTTCACAAGTCAGTGACCAAACCTGATTTGCCCACAATCTCTGGAGAGACTCCCTGGCACTCACGTCAATACTGGTTTGCCTGTTTCAACAGTAGATATCTGGGTTTGTTCCTTTTGGGAATGTTTGATTCTCTGTGACTTTTTAAATGTCTGGGGAGAGGAGAAAAGATGATGAAAGAGAGACCTACCCTGTGCTTACACTGTCATCCTCCTCACCCTTTGCCAACTCAAGAGTGACTCAGTGTGTTACAGAGTACAACTGCTCCCTAGCCTTTTCTTTGCTGTACTCTTTGTGGAAGCAGCTTGCCAGGCCTTTCTTTAATTGCCCTTCTGGGTGGGTTTTGATCCATTAACTTTTATCTTGTAACTTAATAGCTGAGAGCCAATGATTGGTGCTACCCAGGGACTTTTTTGGAATGTTGTGGTCATTGTCTGGTGCCATCCTGTTGGCTACAACTTGCATTGACTCATGTACAACTGTGGATAGGATGGCTTGGAATAGAGTCTGTGCTTAACTAATGTGTGTTGGCAGGCTTAGATGGATGAAATGGTGAGCAGAGGGCCTTGTCTGGTAAACCCTATTTATTGGCATCTTTCTACTCACCTTCCCCCATGGGCCTCGGAAGCGAAAAGTAAAAGAATTCTGTATTTGTTTCTTTATGTTTGGTCAGTAGCATTGTGTTGCCAGCAATTTGTCTTTTCACAATCCATTAAATACTTATTAAGATATAAATGGACCTTAAGTGACATTCAGGAAAAAAAGCTGTTTCAGAAATCTAATTGAAAAAAGAGAAAGAGAATCAGCTTTTAATAATTTAATCAAGAGAATTCTGGTTCTCAGACTTTTCTGAGCAACGGTTCCAAGCATTAAACAGAACACCCCTCCTAGAGAGACTAAGGGACATGGCTTTCAGAGCCTTGACGACTCCCGATATCGCACTCTGTTCTGAAATATTCTGTGAGTTGCATGCAAGGGGTTTAAGGAAGTCCTTTTATTGGCCTCTTCCATCATTTCTAGGATGGAGATGCCTAAACTTTCCAGCATGTTCTTATCATCCTTCCCTTCACTCATCCAGTTGCTCAAATACACATATTATATTACAGAACTCTCATTATCATGTTACCTTCTCTGTAAAACAGCAATATTGAAACAAGACAGTTGTGCATTCTGGGGATTGTTTACTGTTTCTTTTATATAAAAGCATGATGTTCTGACATTTCAGTTGCTTGGAGCCAGGACAGTGGCCAGGGAAATCTTACCTACTTTCACATACAGTCAAAAGTAAAGGGCTTTGCAAGATGGTGTTTTGTGCTCCAGACACATTGTTATTTCAATCTAACTCAGAATCCCAGAGCAGAGAAACTCCAAAGTGGAGTTTACAGAGATGTTTTTATGGTGTATAAGTCTCCACTCTTAAGGAAAAGAAGTGCTTGTGTATTTTAATTCCAGGAAAGAGAACAGACTTTGGAAGACACAGTAGCCCGGCTCACAGTGGTCTAAAACAGAATCTAAACAACAGAACATTACTGTGTTTATTTAGATAGAGAGAGACAGAGAAAGCCAACCAACTGACCAACAGCAGCCAGAAAGGTAAACTAAACTAGGAATACAAGGCATACGATTCATAAACTGTAAAAGCAGAGAGAATTGAAATCCATTTGCTAAAATCAATCTAATTTTAGGTGGGGAAAAAATTTCAGTATTGAGCACAGACTTTTAGATCATGAATAAAACAAGCTGTATTATGATCCATTAGATCAAATAAGACATACCTGTGACCCAAACAGTTTGATTTTATTATTT